TTGCAATATATTGAGCAAGATACAATTATATTGGCAATGCATGAAACATACATGGAGTCATATATTGACACATATTTTCCATATATTTTCCTTTTTGCAAGGGCGATGCGTAGTTCACTAAGTTTGCGCCTCTCGCATGTCTAAACGAGACGCAGGACAATCATTCCCGACGGCTCTATTTGCTAAGGCACTTTTATACTTTAACTTAATCCCACTGACTTTAGTAAAAAGTTTGAAGCTTTGAGCCTGCACAGAATTAACTTTTGTCCCGAAGTTTTTACTTCCCTAAAATCCACATGTGCACTGTAACGAGTTTGGCACTACAGGAGACAAACGGGAAGTCACAGCCTCAATCTGAAGACTGCAATGGATTCCGGATGAAAAAACACATCTAGCCACCAAGTTTGAAGGATGTGAGTCCAATGGCTAGCATCTAATTGGTACCCAAATTTCAAAAAGGGGGTCGCGTATTTTTCTTGTATGTAAACTCCGTACCCGATTTGCCACGTATCATCTGTGCGTCAAACTTTCGAATGTGGATAAAAACAATGCTTTGGTGGTCCTTTAGTCAGCTGTGTATGCGCGTTCTACTGTTCCAACTCATACGGCTGCAATCCAGGTATTTGCTTCAAAATGTAAACTCCGTAGGCGTCAATTTATGTAAACTCCGTAGACATTTCCCCTATGATTTCAGTGGAGAAAAATTTTTTTCTCGAAAAGTGTGACGCTTGATATCGTTTCGCAATCTGCATGCCGAAACAAGAAAAACAAGCCCAATATGAATGAAATCGGACAACTTTTATTTTTTCACGGTTCTAACTGCGAAATTGTAACATTTCTGTAAAATGACCCATATGGCGAAATTTTTTTCGATTTGGTAGAAGGGAATGATAAAGAATATGTGAGATCGTATTTGTTGAAAATTTTGAAGTATTTCAATCGTTGCACTGTCAGAAAATTCCGAAGAAAAATGGAAAAATCATGGAGTTTTTCCGAAACTTCTGCATGGAGCTCTCCATAAATGCAAATTCTGGGCTTTCTCCGAAAAATTTCGGAATTTTGAACAAAAATGCATGCTTCACTATAACAAAAACACGAAAAAAGGTTTGCAACGAGTTAAAAATTGAGGGAAAGGTGAACCCTACTGCTTGAGCTCAGTTTTCATAATATAAAGGGAAAGCTACAGGATATAAGTCGAGTGAGCTCGAATGAGATTGTCCCTTCTTTGACCATTTCAGACCAAAAAAAATGCTTCAGCGAAGTCCTCTTTAATATATGTGCAAAAAACTTGCATTTTACCTTCCATCTGGACCCAAGGAATGCTCCGAAGAACATCTGTATAAGCCCTGATAAAATCCCTAAAAAAAAAAAGGGAAAATGAATGGAGTCTCCATGTACGTGATTATAGGTTTTTCTCCATAAAATTTCGGAGCTAATTTCTAACAGTGTGTAGTCTGATTGTTGGGTGCCGGTTTAAAATTGGGGGTTAAAAACGTATTACTTTGGTGTTGTCATTGATAAGGAAGGTCGGAAATGAGTACTTACTAGGATGATTGGTAAATCCTGCGATTAACCATCACTTGCATAAAGAACAAATCACCTAATTTTAGTCTCGAGTTGATGTTGATACAAGTTAGAAAATGGGAAATTACCTGCTTCACTTGAACTGCTTGGCATGCTCCTTCCCCCGGGAAAAGCCTTCCCCTGCACTACCCCAGAAGTAGAAGATAGCTACCAGCTGAAAACTGAGCAAAACCATTTAATTAGAGAAGCGGCCCCTCTTTTGCTCCAGAAATAGATTAATTTAAAACTCATACCATTTGAATTTTTTGCGCGTAAGATTATCCGAACCACAATCACAAGCCACTTGGGCAAACCCTTGATCATCGGTTACTTTTTGACTTTTCCGCTTTCCGAAAATGTTACCAACGTATATCGGATAAATCGTCACAGACAGCATAATTTTTCGACACCATAAAGTCAAAACGCCTCAGCGATATTACTAAAGGCTTTAGAAAACAGAAACATTTTCAACTTTTCCTTTTGTTCTGAAAACTTTCTTATCTTGAACGAGAACTCGCTTTTTTCGAAATTTTAGGAATCTAATTTACTGGTAGGGTTTGGGAATTGAAGCAAGCGAGGGCTTGATTTTTCCATGCTGTTTCCCGAAAATCAACAGTGTTTTTTACTTTTGACGCAGGTGACAACAGGCGATTTTGGGGAAAACTTATTCAAATTTTATTGATTCTTTAACGCTATCTATTTCAATGTAAGTGAAAGTTGTTTTTAGTTTCCAGTCATTCAAACTCTAATAATTTGTTTGACCAACGGACTAAGTGGCCTGTGTTTTATTGCAGAGAATGGGAATATCAGCAGAACAGCATCGTTTGGAACTGGCCTTCACACCCGGGGGGCAAAA